AAGCTGCAGCAGGATAGTACTTGTAAATACAGCCAGCCAGAAGTAAATACAAGTACTATCATGCTGGGGAGTAAAAAAACTCCGCAGCAGTGCATGTATAGATGCTGGAGAGGCTGACTTGGGCACGAGGGTGCTTCAGTGCGAGGTGTGCTTGCTGGCTAGTCCCACACTGACGCTCCCTTGTGCCTCAGCCAGCCCCTTTGCAGCACGGTGAGCCAGGGGGAGCAACCCTGGGCTGGCAGGTTGGCCCCCAGGGCCCACTGCCAGCTGGGGCTGCTCCAACCTGGCTCCACATGCTGTGCATGAATAAATTCCAGAGCTTATTGCTCCAGAGTTCATTGCTCCCAGGCACATGTTCAAATGGCGTACCTAGGAGCAATAAACTCTGAAGCAATAAGTTCCAGAGTTTATTTGTGTAGATGTGCCCACAACTGCTGATCTTAATATAAGAGCAACTACTCCATACTCCTTTACTGCATGTGACTGCATCATTAATTACTGTAAAAGAAGGGAACCCAACCTAGGTTGGATGGGTGGAGGAAGCACCGAGTTTTAGATTTTGGTTTCAAATGAAATTTATTTTGGTAGTTATATGGAAAATAGACACATGGGATGCCTATAAATGCACGCTGAGGCTACTCTGATGCACTGTAATTACAACGCATTGGATGAGATTTGATTAATCAAGTCTTCCGGACCGTGGTAATTACTGTGCTCCAGCAGCCAGCAGCATCACATGTATCAGCCTCCCCACGCTGAAAAATGGCAACAGGGATGCTTTAACTAAATCTCATTCAATGAACTTTGGTTAAAGCACCCCTGTTGCCATTTTTCAGTGCCAGGACACTAATGCACTTGACACTTTAGACCCCTCCTGCTTCTTGGAGCATGTGTATAAACACCTATTAATATCCCAGGTGAATTTGGGACCTTCTTCACATCTGAAGAAAGACAGGTGGAAATAAGGGAAGTTCTAGTGTTGCCAACTATTATGATTTCATCTAGAGTCTTGAGATACTTGGTGGTTTGCTGAAAGGCCTAGATCTCAGTCATGTGATTACATGAGGATAACAACTGAACTTATTTGTAAAAAGATTTAGGTTTCTAGAAAAATTTGAACATATGAATAAATCCCCCAAATGAGAAAGCAAATGTAAAAACCTCAAAACAGTTTTTAATTTTGTTTTAAATTTTAAATTAATTGTTTGTAAGTAAATCTCAACATTTTGGAGGACTTCCTTCAAGGTCTCTGAATGCTTGTGGACTTTGGGAGGCCTGGACTCCTTGATTGCTAACTGTAGTCTTTCCTGGGCCTCCAGCAGGATTTCACCAATAGATTTTCAATCTCAGGAATACACTGTTTGCTGTCCAATCCCCACCCCTATTCCAACCTAAGTCAAAAGGTTCTCTCCCCAAACTGTCACGTAGGGTCTGTAGAGACCATGTCCATGCCTCTCCCACTTCTTTCCTGTCTCTCCCAGCAATCTGTACAGGCCATGGCGCTAGTTGTGCCTAAGCACATACTTAAGCATTGGTTACACTAAATCCACAGCCTGCCTTCTGCTGCTGCAAAATAACAAGAAGATTTACCTTCATGTACCACGTCCACACATGGAGGGACATGTGGTTTGTGGTGCCACAGACCTCTTTGTGGTGCCACAAACTGCATGCCTTACACATTAAACCGTGTGCCACACTGCTAATTTGCAGTGTGGGAGCAAAATTTGCTACTGGGATTTCCCAATAGCCAAAAAAAAGCCCCGATAAATAAAGCAGGGCAAAGCACATGAAAGTAGCGTTTGCCCAGACAAATGCAGAGATGGGGGAGCAGGTAGCCCAGGACTTCCTGCTCCTCTGTCTCCGCACACTGCAGAGTCCCTGCACTGAGGCACACGGCAGAGTGTGCCTTGAGATGGAGGAGCAGGCAGTGCCTGGGCTGGCTGTTCCTCTGTCTCTACATGCCGCTCCATGGCTGGCTGAGGTGCAGGGTGCCTCAGTGAAGGGATGCCTACTAGCTAGCCCCACACTGAGGCACCCTGTGCCCTAGCCAGCCATCCCTGCAGCACAGGGTACAACAGAGATGGACTCTGGCTTGTTAGCTTAGGATAAACCTCTGTATTATTTAACAAAATGAATGCAGGAGCTGCATTTTGGTTTATTTACGGGAATATAACAGCTTTTTGTTTTTAAAAGTTCAAGCATGTCATTTAAATGATATAAGAATGTGCATGTGACTTATTTGAGAAGTCAGGGTCCCTGTGCCAGGTTTAGAACTTATTGTTATTCTACCGGCACAGATGCTGCTGCTTAACACGTTGCAGGAGCCATAATCTCACCTCCATTTGGCAGCCTATAAGTGAACAGAACAGACATAAATTACAGTCAAAAGGTTCTAGAAAGGTCATGTGAAGGGCAAATGCAGCTTCCTGGCATGTCACTGCACTATGTAGCCACCTCTGTTCCTTCTCAGTGTAAGCAATGGGCCCGCTGGGCAGCTAGCTGAATTGGAAGACAGAAATCAGTGGATGCTCTGCCACCTGTCTTCTTCCCATAAAACAAGGGTTTAAGCTCTTGCTGATACACGGATATTAGCACCACTCAGAGAAGTGCTGCCTTCCCTTAACCACTTTCAAACTTGCACTTATACGGACAGGGTGACACAGCCAATGGCACTAAGGCATATGAATGAGACACTCCAGCAGCATAGATGGGGAAGGCAGGGACAGGGACAAAGTGAGCATATACGCCAGGTTCACGTGACTTTCTACATCTGATGACCTGTGACCCAGGTGTACACGGCAGGACCTGGGTCAGATTTAGCGGTGATCCATATCTGATGGCCAGAACCAGAGGGATTAATAAGCAATAAATATGTGCTTCTTGGAGGCATTTGGAATTTTTGCCTAATATAAAGCTTGCAAGTTTGTAACCCGCAAATGTAACTTGTCTGTCGTAAGTTTAAGCAAAATAATAAAACTAACTGTTTGTAGAACTGACTGGGCCCCAAAGGCGAAGCTGTAGCTGCAAGATTAGCTGACCTAACGGCTTTTGCTCAGGGTTCAGCCTTGACAATAAAACTGGATCCAACCACCTGGCACACCCAACACATTCCAGGAAAGCATGTCTCAAGAAAGCATATTCAGAAAAATCTAAAAGGGTTGGGTTTAGTAATGTTAATTTCAAACCTAAAAATGCTGCATTGTAATTTACTTATTGGATAAACCCGAGTCTGGGTAGTAACCTTTTATGATAATTTTTAACACCTTTCAATACCATAGGGTAACAGCTATAAGGCAAAATTGTGAGTGGCTCTAAAGCCAACAGATTAGCATAAAACTAGGTATAAAAAGCGTGTGCATCATGTGACAAGCAGGAAGGAGGGAACAGAATGGTCATTGCTTTTCCAAGCCCAGACTCCAGACTCCCAGTGTGAGTGACAATCGGATCCTAATCAAGGGACCTTCCCCAGTAATCCCTCCAACAGCGTCGATCAGGGATGCCTGACTTTGCTGGAATCACTTGGCATGCACCTGGCATCGAGGAACTATCGATAAGTTGCCAACCCCTGTCTGTCTATCTGTTGTTTCAAACAGCCCAGTGGCTGATACCCTCGCAGTGCCCACTTGGCCTGCGACAGATTGATCCATCTATCTGTTATTATCTGTTATTATTTACTATTAATACTTTAATACTGCATTATCTGCTTGTCGCATTTATCTTTCTGTTAACTGTTGTCTGTGTAAGCTATAATAAATTTACTTTTGCTTCACTCCCAACTCTGCCTCCTCGATCCTGAACCAAACAGCCCAGTGGCTGATACAGTTGCAGTACCCAGTCAGTCTGCAACTAAATTGATACACTCACAGTGCCCAGCTGGCCTGTGTCATGCATATGAAAATCTCCCCTGCATTCAGCCTCCTTCAGACCTCCTTAGGGTGCAGACATAACATATTAACTATGAAGTGAATTGGCTTCACTGCATAGTAAAAGTGAAGTAGACACACGACCCACAGTGTTATGTCACAGTAGCATAACTGAGGGAGTAACCAGTGCAGCAGCTCCAGGTGTCTCCTTTGTGGTGGGCGGCGGGGAGGGGGGGCAGGGGAAGAGTACCTGTTGTCTCAGCAGCATGCCACAACTGGCACAACAGGAGCCAGTGCTGCCCTGGGTGCCAAGCTGCACAGCTACACCTTTGGTACATCAAGGAAAGTGAGGGTGAAGTTACCCCTCAAGGTAAGGAGAAACTATGTGCAAGGTACATTGGTGTACCAGTCGTATGCATCCCACTAGCCAAGTTCAACCCAGTGTAGTCATTTGCCCAAATGAAAATTGGCTGTCCACCACTGAGTGGCCAGGCACTTATATAGCACCTGTATGGGCAGCCAGCTAGGAAGAACTGGTTGTGCCTCCACTTCTTCCTACAAAACAAACATGCCGTGGAGCAGAGTACTAGATGATCACTACAGAGTAATCTGTGCTTCTGCAGCCTCACTCTAGTGTCATTTAAGGGAAAGCTAAACTGAAATTACTGGCACCCCAAGGATGGTGTAAAAATGAGAGTAGGTTGGTAGCTATATGTTTACATCCATGTAATCTAAAAATGGACAGAGTGATCATTCAGAAACTTTCCTGAAGGTGGGTGGAGGAATTGTGCCTTGGCTAACAATCCTGTTTTCCAAGCTTTATCCTACAAATAATTTTCACAGCACAGTTTGAAATCTCCCAAAATGTGGGGTTGCCAGAGAAATCAGGACAGACCCTTACCCACACTTATCACCTACAAAAATTCTATAAAAAACCAGCAGTCAGAGTAGTTGTCACTGGGGAAAGGGCAGTAAACAACAAAATGCTGTGCATAATATGTAATTATGCATAAAACACATCCATTTGTTTTGCTAATGTGTAGGTCACTGTGATAGAACAGATATAATAAATAGCATTATGTATTGGGTCTCATCCCGGTCTCAGCTCAGCATAAAGGTTAATCTGTGCATTTTTACCTGGGCTGGAGCACTGGATGAAAGATGAGTCAAGTCTCCAATTCTGGCAGCAGCACGAGGATCACTAGAGCTGATCAAGACAGGAGCGCTGATTTCCATGGAGTGCCTGTTATTCAGGGCCTGGGAGGACTTGTGTGTCATGCTGAGAGCTGTGAAAGAGTGGCGCTTCTTGGCATTCTTCTTGCCGTCAATATGCCGCTGGATGGCACTGACTGCTCCAGTATTGTTTAAAGTAGAGCACTGGGTCAAATTTACAGCTGTGCTGGTGTCAGATGGCAAGGGGACATCACAACCAGATGCTGCAGCTAAACACGTCTTGTCCATCTCAATAAGCTGCTTAGCCGATTCATTGAGCTAAGTGCAGAGAGGAAGGAAGGGGGGAAAAAAAGAAGGGAGGAACATTAAAAGCTGTCACATCTTGCCTATGAGTTGGTGAGTTCAAATTCTGCGCTCATGCGAGAGGCAGTGGGACTTCATTTACAAAAGCATTAACCTTTCCCAGCATTTAAAAAAAAAAACACAACAGCTGAAGTCTACCATTCTAATACCCCTGCACATACATTGGGCATATGCCTAGTAAAGTCAATGGGGCTGTACTGTGCACTTGAGAAATTTTTCTTCAAGTACTGGCAATTACCAATAACATTATTTTTGTATTTTATTGGCCTGTATTGGATAGGTTAGGGTGAGCTGGAAAAGACAGAATGCTTTACTCTTTGAGGCAGCAGCCGGCTTTCAGCTCTCCAGGGTTCTACAGCAGGAACAGCATAGTATTTGTCTGGTTGAAGGGGAATATCCAAAAATAAAATAAAAATTCAAGATGCAACTTATATGCACAGCAGAGAAGAGATGCCACAGGGTAAGAATTCAGATCAGTTGGTCTACAAGCAGACAGTCAAAAAGGAAAGCACTCAAACCTACAGTGCATTTTTCAGGGTGTGACTCCAAGTAACATGTTTAAGGGAACCAGTGTCAGAGCCAGGATAAGAAGTCTGGAGTTCTCTCATCTCCTAGTTCTAGACACAGTTCAGCATGCTAGATTTCTTTCTACTGGACAATGCCCCTTTCAGCTCAACTTCTAGGGAACTAAGGTCTGGGTAAGTTTAACAACGCCACTGGTGTTTAATAAATATACTATTTTATTCTAGTGGCGGGGAATATAGACGATCAAGTAAAGGTTGTCAGAATTCATTAGCCACAGTGTGGCTATGGAGAGCACGCTAACGTTTCCATTATACTACCTCACTTTTCCCAGTATCATCATTAATAATATATGTGCCTGAGGTTTGCTATGTAGAGTCCCAGTCCAGAAGCATTTCTTCCAAAATCTCTCTAATGTTTTTTCTTGCATTTCTAACATAACTAATGTTTTTATCTTGATATGAGAATAAAGCAAAGGCTATTTTTAAACACTGCCACTTCAACCGAACAGTAACAGGCAGGCATCTTTCTGGCTTGTACAGGAAGGGCTATTTGTTCTCAAAGCTTAAGGAAGCAATAAATAGAAAACATTAAAAATGACTCCAAGGACCCTCTCCAAGGGTTTGAGATTTAGCGTGCAGTTTATGGAGAAGGTAAGATACGGCAAAGTCAATTTTCAACTAACTGCTCGTGATCATTTTAACACCCTGGTCCTAAGAAATGCAGAAAACGTGAAGTATGGAGCACCCACTGCTCTGAAGTTTCTGATTTCCCAGATGGTATCATTTGGGTAAGAAAGAGTTTTTTGTACATATATGGACAGTCTCTGGACCTAGATAAATGACAATATTCACAGTTCTATGAGGTGCATTCTGAATCAATCGGCTTTTTCCTTGCAAAACTCACTGACAACAGATTTATTGTTCAAAGTGTACAGAGAGCTGGTGAGAAAGGTGTTGTATAGCCAACCAACCTTTATATTAAACCAGCATACCATGCAATAAGCTTTCATATTTAATGAACAGAAGCAATACAGGAAAATGATACCTAAAGCCAAAGGCTGAGAAAATCAAATATACTAAATGTTGTATAGGATAAAATGATTATGATGATTATTATATATATTATGGTAGCATCCAGAAGGTCCAGACAAGCATGGGGTCTGCTTGGTTGCATAAACATATTGAAAGACAAAGGTCTGCAGGGCAGGGATTAAGGATCCAATTTAAAAACAAGATGCAACAAGTGAGAGGAACGTACAATGAGGGTAATGGCAATGAGATCATGCTGTTGAACAGCCTGATGGCTCCAAATTGCTGCGACAATGTTTTAAAATATAAATAAGTAAATAAATAAATAATGCCAGCACTTTCCCCACAAGTCCACATAAGTCTTCTGGACTTCCGTCTCCAGTTTACAGAACATAATTCCTAAATAGGAGGTGATGAATATGCTAGTATCTAGAAAATAAACATCAACATGCTGTAATCCTTCATTTACTGACAGGCTCTACCAGTCAACCAATAACCTCCAATTAGTGATGTTCTGCTACTGACAGTGCAGAGAATAGCTGCTGGGAGTCACTGATACTGTTCAATTAGAAGGCCATTTTCTCAGCTGCACTCTTCAATATGGGACCATTATGGGAGCCAGCACAGTATACTGCACCTGCCAATTTTTGCCTATAACAGCTGATCCCATTGCAGATTCTTCAAGAATGTCCATTATTTCCCACTTCATCATGTTCTAAATTGGAACAACCTAATATTTGCCAGCAGGCTCCAAGTTGCAAGGAAACCAGATGGCTCTCCTCCCTTAAGGTGTTCCAGCTCTGCTTACCCAATCAATGAAGATATCCTAAATGAATCATTTGAAAACGTAAAGGAGGACTAGGGAAACTCTACCATAATTTATTATGAGATGCAAAAGTATCTTTTCTACAGAAGAACCTGATGAAATAAATTTGCTAGTATCAAACTGGATAAGCATATCTGCAAAGAGCTTTATAAAGCACTGGGACTTCGTGATTTAGCAGCCATGTCCCATGTGGAGAGAAACCCTCCTGCTCTTTACAACACAACTTGAACTACGATTCCATTTGTAATATCCAGTTTATAAATCCCACTGGTTGTCAACTAATCTGACTGTGAAGAAGACCCTTGTCATACAAGAAAGCTATTTTTTTACAAAGCAAAACCACCACAAATATGATGATGAGATTGCTAATGTAAAGGGCTATGTAAATTATAACTTCATATCAGTACAAGCCAAAAAAAAAATCACTCTCAATTTTAATGCACTGTGTAAGCCAAAAAAGAAAGCAAAAATCCCCCTTAAACCAACCAATAGATCTAGGTAGGTAATAAAGAAATACACTAATAGGCTAACACTCAAAGCATTGGGCTTGGCAAGATAAAATTGTTGGAAATATTTTATAAGGCAAAAAAATCAATAGTATTATAGCTGCAACACTTCGTTGCAATGATCAAGCTCAGTAATTCTGGTCCATGCTTCATAAATGCAGGAGGGCCAGACAAAAATGTCTTCCTGCCTAAACAGAAAGAATGAATTTCTCTTTGTGTATGCCTTACACAGCTTTTTTTTTAAACCATGATTACAACACTGAAAATGTAAATTCATTACCATCTCCTGCTCCTCTCTAGAAAAGAAATGTTATTTTGTAGAAGCAAATCTTAATGGAGAGTGCTTTGATATCCAGGAGCTCTGATCCACAGACACTCCCAGGATTTGAACATTTCTGGGACTGTGTGGATTTTCCACAATTTACTGAACTGTTCATTTCAGGATTTCCACTTTCGAGCACCTTGCTGATGTAAGATAAAAAAGACCAAAGCCAAAGTCCTGGCCCTGTTAACTCAATGGCAAAACAATTATTTTCTTCAGTGGGGTCAGGATTCCCTTCCAAAGGGAAATAGTGTAATGAGTAGGGCCATCGTACGGAACTCAGTATGGACTGAACCCTACAAGCTGCTAAGTAATCTTATCCATTAGGTCAATTAATGATATGCTCAGCTTCAACCCTGTGAAGAGTCCCACTGTTCAGCGCCAGAGTACTCAGCCCCTTGGAGAGACCTCTGCAGCCAATACTGGACTTTGGACAGAATCAAAAGAATATTTTGGAGAGGATTCTGTCAGGGTCGCTGTGAATCATAAGGCCCACTTTTATGGAGAGACTGATGAGAGTAGATCTATTAGCTGATTTTGGGGTTGTGCATGGCTAAGTTAACTACACACCAAGTTAAGCTTGTAAAGCTACTATCTCTCTTCCCCGTGACAGAATTCCCGCACTTGTAGGAAATGCACGGGTAACTGGGCATTGCTTTGACTAGCTCTGTCTGTGAAGAGAGCATATCCTTAGATTAAGCTAGCTCTCTGTCCTCTTCAGTGTCTGTCTCACTTCTGAACACATTTTCCCCTCAAAAGAGACAGTAATCAAGATCCAATTCATTTCAAAAGCTGCTGATCTTAGTCTGAGCCACACTACTCACTTATCCACCATCCAAACTATCATGCCTTTGGCCCCTAGCCAAAAACAGTCCATAACCAAGACATATAAAAAGAACCAGATGAGGATTCCCCCCCCTTTCTGGCTTTTAACTATGATTACTTTAGATATTCTGCTTGAGCCTTTACCATCTGGACCACAGACATACATGCATTAAGTTGGATCACTCCGAACTTCTCTGCTGCCAAAATTATTGTTTTATTAGTCTCTCGATAAACTTGACTGTTATGCAGAATACATTATGATGATTTTCCCTCTTTCTCCCACCTCTTCTTCCACCCCAATACATTTCAGTCTGATATGCGTGTGTTAAGAAAGGAACGGAGAGAAACAGCATGAGCAGGTTTCTCTATTAAAGATGAGGTGATACAAGACTTTGGGCTGGATTGTGATTTGCAAGAAGTGGAAGTACTTCTGCAGGAAAACAATGTTTCATTCTTACCGTGCATGCCTTCCCTTGTAAGAAAAACCCTTCATATAGGACTAAGAACCCACCATCTCCCTGTGTGAACTAATGGACCTGGGGTCTAGCTATGAAGGATCACACACCCAATTAAATCCTTCACCAAGTGCATGAGAACGAGGATGAGGGAAGAATTACTTCCTTGCCAGACTGCATCATAATATGCTGCTGGTATAGATCTATATTAAATTACTATGTCACGGACAATGGAGGAAATAGAGGCAGCACTGGAATAAAGGCCAGGCTTGAACTAGAGACTTTTGCAGGCATGGTAATGTTGTCTAGGGGTGTAGGTTTTTATGGCACTTCCATACCAGCAAAAGCCACAGCATGGATGCAGTTATGCCACTAAAAAGATGCAATGTCAGGACAGCTTCTTTTAGTCAGTGAATCAGCATAAAATCCAGTGTAAATCAAGAAGTGGAAGGAGTTCTGCAGAAAAGC